CACCCCACACCATATGTTGTGTATGTGTATATATATACATATTTTTTTTTTCTTTTTTCTTTTTTTGAGACAGAGTCTCACTCTATTGCCCAGGCTAGAGTGCTATGGCATCAGCCTAGCTCACAGCAACCTCCAACTCCTGGGCTCAAGCAATCCTACTGCCTCAGCCTCCCAAGTGGCTGGGACTACAGGCATGCACCACCATGCCTGGCTAATTTTTTCCATATATTTTTAGTTGGCCAATTAATTGTTTTCTGTTTTTAGTAGAAACGGGGTTTCGATCTTGCTCAGGCTGGTTTTGAACTCCTGACCTTGAGCAATCCTCCCACCTTGGCTTTCCAAAGTGCTAGGATTACAGGCGTGAGCCACCACACCTGGCCTGTAAATACATTTCTTGTGACAATGTCAGAGATATTGTGGGGAGAGATTTGCTTAGAATTGATAAGTAGGCATTTTTAACCTTTTCTGGGACTAATAACCAATTGTTTGTATATAAGTAGTCTAATATTTTAAGTTTATATTGCTCATTTGTGGTTTTTAAATTATTTGACTTATACTAATAATTGTAATTAAAATGAAATTTCATGGCTTTTATATGAACTTAATACTAAATGACTTTAATTCTATGCACCTCAAGTTTTTTTTGTAAGTAGTGACAAATTATAAGTACATTTTAGATCTGAACTCATTATATAACACTTGCCCCAATTTTCTCCTTCTAGCACCACAGAGAAATAACTTACAAAAGTAAACTTTTGTAATTATATTATATAGAAAAGAATATCCTTCACTGTTAATTCCTATCATTTGCATTCTTATAACCATGGGGAAAGCAGGCTTTCCTGTTTCTTCATGAACCTCTGAAGGTTTCTGTCTGGGTTTGATGCCTGCCTCTTGGGTCAGCAATTTGTGCCTAATGATTTTTAGCTGTCAACCAATAGTTTTCTTTCTTGAATTGTAGACTGATTTTGCTGCTGCTGCTCCACATCCTTGTGGTTTTTATCTCAGTAACCAGATGAAACTCCAAATTCTTGGATGTCTGATTCAGGAACAGGTATGGTACTTACGTTTTTAAACAGTTTTTTTTTTTAAACAACTTGTCTACATTTCTCATCATTGGGTGATAATCAGATACAATATATTGTGGTTTTCTAAGTGTTTTATGTGTTATGGTGTTCCTCTGGTAGCTATAAATTTAATGTGCAAGATCTTGTGTGTGTGTGTGTGTGTGTGTGTATATATATATATGTTCTATTTGCTTACAACCATCCACAAACCCACTGTAAAAGTAAGAACACACTGAGAGGGTAACATTCTACCTGCCAAGAACAGGGATTAATCCATCAGCCATATAAGGTACCACTTAGCCTCTTTTACATTGAGAGAAATTCCTAAGCCATTTTTTGTCTCTTATAAAACTCCTACCTGTTTGAAGTTGTCTCAGTACTTAAGGCTGATAAAGATGACTGGAGCAGTCTAAGTCAAATAATCCCAAATGAAGTATTTTATCCTAGTCCCAATTCTGAGGTGCAAATTCCATGCTCTTGGCCGACACACACAGTGGCCTGGGCACTTACCTTACAGAGCTGCGTGCTGCGCTCTTCTGGGCAAACAAGGCATCCACTGAAGAAAACAGGCCTAGCTTTTAATGAAAAATAAAAGTAGGGTGCAGTGAAAAGCCTTTCTAAATGTAAACTCTCCAAGAAGCTGACCTAAGCCTAACAAAAGGACCTTCACTAGTTTCAATGTACTAGTCCATCTGAAAAACCTCCACAAAGTCCTTCAGCCTGTGAAATGCGAAAGTCAAGTCCGTCCAAGACAAAGGTCCAAAGAAACAAAGAACTACTTGAGCTTTCGAAAACCCTTTTGCTAAACAATGTACAATTTCAAGATGTACTTCAAAGTACCTATTACCCAAAATAAACTATTAATACCAATGTGTAAAAAGAAAATTGGATCAGAAGAGAATTCTGATGATAAGCATTCCTTGATTTACAAAGAAACTAAGAACAATGAGAAAAAAATGAGCAAATAAAGAGGAAAGTTCCAACTTTTGTAAATCCAGAATTATGAGGGTCAGAAATGCATTTCAGGAGTGCGGTGGGATTCACCAACCACCACAAGCACAAAATCATTTAAAGCTCAGAAATATCAAACAAATTTGATTTTCCCTAATGACTTAATACCAAATATATTACTCACCTAAAAAAAGGGAAAAATAAAGCTTGTGCAAGAGATGATCAATAAAGAGAAAGACTCAGAGGGAATCACTGCCTGCTCAGAGCCTCTACTCTACCCTACTAGTCATGCAAGGTTCTACTGTAGAAGGCTATTTCTCAGGCCACCTGAGGGAGAAAATCAGGCTAGGCCAGCAGTTCCCAGACTTTACTGCACATCAGATCACCTGAGGAGGTTTAAAACTCGTGATGCACAGATCATGCCCCACAGTGAAGAAGTCAGAACACCTGGGATCAGCAGTCAGGATAAGTAGATTTTTAAGTCTCCTCGGGTGATTCTAATATACTGCAAAGTTCAGGAACCCCTGGGCTGCATTAAATATATATTGAGTTACAAACAACAAAAGATAGCAAGAAAAACAGTGAATCCACCAAAGGACATAACCACAAACTCAAAATTTATCAGAAGTGGAAAAGTCACCATAGAGTTTCAGTTTTAACTTAAATTTAAAAAAACAGAAGAAAAGAAACTACCATGTATGACAACATTCTCCCTTTAAGCCAACCTGTTCCAATGAAAAAAAGCAATTTTTGCCCTAGTCTCCAAATGTTTTCATGCTATCGTAACAAAAAAGGATATACAATCCTTGATGGCATGTAGGGTCAAAACAGTACAACTACCAACACAGTAAACCAAAGGGCCTTTGTAGAACAGAACTACCGTCATGGTACTAAAGGGCTTTCCTAGGCCACAGAAGCTTTTGTGGTTCCTGCAGCTTTATTTATCTTCACCTTCCTCCTCCTCAACACAAACCTGAGAAAGTTCAAAGAATGGCACTATTAGGAAGCCTAAATATCATGAATTGAAGAAAGAAAATTTATTGACATAAAAGATAAATAGTGCCTTATGAAGGCTGAGGGCAATCTTCTTATGACTTCTTTAATAAATCTTTTTCATAGGATGATGGAAAGACTATGTTTAGATGATCAAGATATGATCAATTTCTAAAGGTATCTGGTTTGTAGAGAGATTAGATTTTGCAATTTCAACATATATGTTAAACAATGCTAATCTGTGACAATATAGGCCAGTAAGTGCTATAAATATGTATTAAAACTTAATTAAATTTCTTACAATTTGGATTATAAATTCAGAATTGTCTAAATAACGTTTCATGTCATTTTTT